CAGTGTCACCTTGCGGTCGCTCAGGCCGGACACGGTGTCCACGTACTCCTCCTGGATCATGAAGGCCGCCAGGTTGGCCGTGTAGCTGGCGAGGAAGATGACGGCGAAGAAGGCCCAGACCAGCACCATGATCTTACTGGTGGTGCCCTTGGGGTTCTCCACGGGCACCGAGTTATTGAACACGAGCGCCCACAGCAGCCAGATGGATTTCCCGATGGTGAACGTGGAGCCACCCGCACCTGGGGGACACCTGGGGTCACCTGGGGACACCTGGGGACAGCTGGGGTCACCTGGGCACACCTGGGGGCACCTGGGGGACACCTGGGGACACCTGGGGTCACCTGGGCACACCTGGGGGCACCTGGGGGACACCTGGGGGCAGCTGGGCACACCTGGGCACACCTGGGGGCAGCTGGGAACACCTGGGCACACCTGGGGGCACCTGGGGTCACCTGGGGACAGCCAGGGACAATGGCCACAGCAGCCAGATGGATTTACCAATGGTGAACGTGGAGCCACCCGCACCTGGGGGACACCTGGGGTCACCTGGGGGACACCTGGGGGCAGCTGGGCACACCTGGGGGCAGCTGGGAACACCTGGGGGCAGCTGGGGACACCTGGGGGTACCTGGGGTCACCTGGGGGACACCTGGGGGCACCTGGGGTCACACAGGGACAATGGCCAGAGCAACCAGATGGATTTCCCAATGGTGAACGTGGAGCCACCTGCACCTGGGGGACACCTGGGGTCACCTGGGGACACCTGGGGGCACCCAGGGCCAGGGGACACTGAGAGGGTCACCTGGGGACACTTGGGGACACTCCGGGGTCCCATCAGTGCCCGGAGCAGCCGATGGATTTCACAGGTGAACGTGGGGCTCCCCAGTGCTGGGGGACACTGGGGGGGACACGAGGGGACACGAGGGGACACGAGGGGACACGAGGGGACACCAGGGGACAGGGGTCACTCACGTTGGCCACTGGCCAGGCTCCGGTTGTAGCCCACGGGGCTGAAGTACTCGAAGATGAAAACGGTGACGGCCACCACGGTGAGACACATGACAAACATCATCACCCACACGGCCGGGCTGTAGGGCTCTGAGGGGACATTGGGGACACCAGGGGACATCAGGGGACATTGGGAACACTGAGGGACACCAGGGGACACCAGGGAACACCAGGGGACACTGAGGGACATCAGTGGACACGGGGACACACGGTGAGACACGGGACAAACATCATCACCCACACGGCCGGGCTGTAGGGCTCTGAGGGGACATTGGGGACACCAGGGGACATTGGGGACATCAGGGGACATCAGGGGACATTGGGGACATCAGGGGACACTGAGGGACAGGAGGGGACATAGGGGGGGGATACAGGGAAGTTTGAGGGGTCCCAGTTGAGACTTGGGTTTTTGGGGATTCCAGTTGGGGTTTTGAGGATTCCAGTTGGGGTTTTGGGGGTTCCCATTCAGGATTCGGTGTTTTTTAGGGTTTTGGGGGGTTTTTTGGGGTATTTTTGGGGTATTTTGGGGTACCCAGGAAGGCGGAGGGGGACACGGTGCCGTTGCTCCGGGTCACCGTGACGCTGATGCCGGTTGGGATTTGGGGTCGGGATTTGGGGTTTTGGGGGTTCCCATTCAGGATTTGGGGTTTTGGGGGTTCCCATTCAGGATTGGGGTTTTTTTGGGATATTTTTGGGTATTTTGGGGTACCCAGGAAGGCGGAGGGGGACACGGTGCCGTTGCTCCGGGACACCATGACGCTGATG